AAAACAAGTTTGTGACATCATATTTTGGTGATCATAAATTTGTCCATCAGTAGGGTACAATTCGGACTAGAAGCACAAAAGTTTCTGAACCTCTTCTTGCAGGACTGGAAAATAGTAGAAGAAAAAGGAGAAACAGTATGTCTAGAGAACTTTTCCTTTCTCCTGAGACTCTTTTACAGCCTTCACCTCAAAGATCTGACTAGGAAACTGAAAATATGGCTGAAGAGTAGAATGGTAGACGTACCCTGGAAGATTATGCAACAGTTATTGGCCCTCATCATTTTAATAGCATTGCAAGGCCGAGGGTTAATGTTGAAAATATGGAGATGAAGCCTGCTTTGATTCAATTGGTGAAGAGCAACCAATTCAATGGATTATCACATGAAAATCCATATGAGCATTTGACCACATTCAATGAGATATGCAATACTGTGAAGATCAATGGTGTGCTAGATGAAGCTATTAAACTTACCTTGTTCCATTTCTCTTTGGGAGGCAATGCTAAGATGTGGTTGAACTCTTTTCCAGAGAACAATTTTATTGAGTAGGAAGCTGTGGTTTCAAAGTTTCTGAATAAGTATTTCCCACAATCAAAGGTAAACAAAGGCAAGCAGGAAATTTCTTCTTTCAGGCAGGGCATAGATGAAACGTTAGGTCAAGCATGGGACCGATTTAAAGGCTTGCTGAGAAAGACGCCTACTCATTATTTTGATGAACCTACAATAGTCATTCTATTCCTTGGAGGTTTAAGCTCATAGACTAAATTGATGCTAGATGCCTCAACTAGAGGTAATATCAAGTGCAAGACTCCAGAGGAAGCCTATGATTTGATTGAAAATATGACTACTAATGATAATGAGATGCACAGTGAAAGAACTCAACTTCAACAAAAAGGAGTTCTACAATTACAATCTCAAGATGCTCTGCTAGCACATAATAAGATTATGACTCAACAACTGGAGGCTCTGATGAAGAAAATCTCTCAATTGCCAAAGGAGTTGCACAATGTTTCTCAAATTCAACAGCAACTTTATGAGTTGTGTGGTGGAGATCATATTAATGGTCAATGTGCTATGCCGGAAGCTACCCAAGAGGAAGTTAATTTTATGGGTCAAGGTAACCAATTACATCCAAGTAATTACAACCAAGGGTGGAAACCTCATCCAAGTATGGGACAAGGGCAAGCTGGGCAATTCAATATACCCCAACAACAATGGAAAAAACAACCTTCATTATATGAAAGAACTGCAAAGTAAGAAGAGACACTCCAACAGTTCATGCAAGTGTCTATCTCCAATCATAAAAGCACTGAAGCTGCCACAAGGAATTTGGAGATACAAGTTGGTCAACTGGCTAAAAAGTTGGAGGAGAAATTTGAAAAGTAGTTTGGGGCTAATACTGAAGTTAACCGTAAAGAGGAATGCAATGCTATCATGAGCATAAGTAGTAAGAGGTTGGAAGAGAGAAAAATAGAGAGAAAAGGAAAAGAGGATTTGAGTGAAGAAAAAGAAGAAAGTGGGAGAAAAAGTGAGGTTGAGAGGAAGGAGAAGAATAAAGAAAAGGGAGAAAGAAAAGAGGAAGAAGAGGGAGAGAGAAAATAGAGAAAAATTGAGCAAGCTCTTCCTTACCCTAAAGCTTTTACTAGTAAGGAAAAAGAAAGACAATTAGGGTGTGATGAGTCACAATTCTTCATTATGCACTTAATTCTCCATTTTATCTCATTTTCACTATTTGGGCTTAATTTCAAGACTAATTCTTATTTTAATTAATTTGAATTATTTGGGCTTAATTATTTCAATTATAAATTGCAGGACAATCACTCTTGAAAAGTTGAGAAAAGGTTTGAACGTAATGAACAGAGCCGTATGGTCTGACACTGCCAGAACCAAACAGTTAGGGTCTGAAAGACCGAACGGTTTGACCATAGTCTTGACCGAACGGTCTGTCAAAGATGTGACCGAACAGCCTGTCAAAGTTTGCACAAAACGAGCTGAGAGCCTTGCTGGAAGCCTCCACCGGACGGTCAGCTACCAGCTGAGCACTGTTGAACAGAATGGCCGAGCATCATAGAATCGAACGGTCTGTGGACGCATATACCGAACGGTCTGTGAAAGCTTACACCGAATGGTCGAACACTAATGAATGGAACGAAAAAAACCTGTTGTCTGAGAGTGGATGACCGAACGGTCATGTGAAGACTGCATAGTATAGAGCGAGCCTGTAGAGCATTGCTGAATGACTGAGCGGTCTGAGCCTTAAGCACCGAACGGTCAGATGCAGTAACTAGAGGAACAACAGCAGTGTTGGATGCACATTCTGGGACTTCAAGAGGATGGGCACGTCAATATTGTAGCGTTTTGGAAGGTCATTGGGTGAAACTTTAGGACTTTGGGCCCAATTGTAGGTCATTTTGTAGGACAAGCCCATTAGGAGGGCATTTTTGGTCTTTTGGGTATATAAAAAATCCTAAAAGCAGAATTCTCGAGAAGTCTAGCAGCCACCACTACGTACCTGTTCTGAAGAAGAGGTTGTTGCATCCATGGGTTAGGAGGAGAGCTCCAAGAGGTTCCTTTTCGTTGTTTTCTTACTTGAACCGATAAAACGTTTATATTTTCTTCATATTGGAATGCACACAGTTACTCATTAATTTATTTTCACCATTCATCGTCACCTTCCTGCATTTCTGCCTTGCGATTCTACTTCACGTTGCATTTTCAATGCTGTTTGATTCTCAGTTTGCGTTGGATGATGCTTTTACTGTTGCGAATCATTTTAATCCCATTCGGTGTATTTTCATTAACGTTTATAATAGTTTTCGGCTTATCTGTGCATTTCGAAGTTAAAGTTTAGTTTCTGTCGCACTCCGTTCAAAGATTGATGAATTCTTATCAATCACAAAAACACTTTCAAACCCCCCACTACGTGTTTGACCTAATTCTCGAACCACAATTGGTCCTTGAGAGACGACCTAGGAGTCACTTCCTAGCACTATACTGCATTTATTTGCGTATCAAATTTGATGGGCTACGATAGCCGCATCAAATTTTGGCGCCACTGTCGGGGAACAACGGTTTGCTTATAGGTCTTTTATTGTCTTAGTGTGTTGTGTGTGTTAGTATATGTTTTTTCTTGTATGTTTGAGTATGTGTGTTTTGTTTGCTTAGGTTGTTTTGTGTGTTTGAAATTTTTGTGCTATAGTTTCATGGTTGTAGGGTGTTGTGACTTAGTGCATGACTAGGGGCAATCCTGGACCCATACTACCCTTTGATCCTGAGATTGATAGGACTTTTCATAGGTTAGTTAGGCATTCTAGGAATTTATCTTTAAAGTTTGTTTTTGAGTCAGTTCCATTAGATATCGTGCATCCTACTGCTGATTTTGAATCTACTGCTCAATACTTTGTGCATACTACATCTACTGCATCTGTTGCATCTGCATCTGATTCTGATTCTGATTTTGTTATTTTTCACACTAAGAACAATATGGCATAACCTCCACCTCGCGAGAAGACTTTTCGGGAGATGGTTGCACCTGATTTCACTTATGAAAGCTTGTGCATCCAATATCCTGATGAGGACGTACCATTTGTTCTCAAGACTGGACTAATCCATTTGTTGCCCAAGTTTCATGGCCTTGCAAGTGAGTGTACAAATAAGCATCTGAAAGATTTCCAATATGTGTGTTCATCAATGAGGCCTCAAGATGTTCCTAAAGATCACATCTTCTTAAGGACATTTCCTTATTCACTAGAAGGTACAACAAGGGAGTGGTTATACTACTTAGCGCATAGATCCATAACCAACTGGGATGATATGAAGAGGTTGTTCTTAGCGAAGTTTTTCCCAGCATCCCGAACCACAGCTATCAGAAAAGACATAACGGGGATTAGGCAGCTTGGTGGAGAGAGCTTATATGAGTATTGGGAGAGATTCAAGAAGCTTTGTGAAAGTTGTCCTCACCATCAGATACTAGAGCAACTCCTTCTCCAGTATTTTTATGAAGGTCTCAACAACATGGATAGGAGTATGATTAATGCTACCAGTGGTGGAGCACTAGGAGATATGACGTCTACTGAAGCCAAGCACTTGATTGAGAAGATGGCTTCCAACTCCCAAAAGTTTAGCACCACAAGTGACACTATTGTGGTGAAGGGAGTACATGATATTGCTACCCAGTCTTCATCATCTGCTGATAGGAAATTGGAAAGCAAGCTTGATTCTCTTGCGAATTTGGTGGCACAGATGGCTTCAAATCAGAGACCAGCATCTCTATTTGCATCTGTTACACGATTGTGTGGTATATGTCTTTCCAGTGATCACCATACAGATGACAGCCCTGCTTTGCAACAACCTATTGGCCATGATGCACCTCCAGCCTATGCTGCAAAAATACAAACCAACAGGCAACCACAACAACAAAATTATGACTTTTCCAACAACAGATATAACCCAGGGTGGAAGAATCACCCAAATCTTAGATGGCCCAATAATTCACTTAAGTAGTAGCAGCCACCACTACGTACCTGTTCTGAAGAAGGGGTTGTTGCATCCATGGGTTAGGAGGAGAGCTCCAAGAGGTTCCTTTTCGTTGTTGTCTTACTTGAACCGATAAAACGTTTATATTTTCTTCATATTGGAATGCACACAGTTAGTAATTAATTTATTTACACCGTTCCTCGTCACCTTCATGCATTTCTGGTTTGCGATTCTACAGTTCACGTTGCATTTTCAATGTTGTTTGATTCTCAGTTTGCATTAGACGATGCTTTTACTTTTGCGAATCATTTTAATCCCATTCGGTGTATTTTCATTAACGTTTAGAATAGTTTTCGGCTTATCTGTGCATTTCGAAGTTAAAGTTTAGTTTCTGTCGCACTGCGTTCAAAGTTTGATGAATTCTGCATTTTCTAGTTTTGCTGCATTTGATACCGATCGGTTATCTCTTTAGACCGTTCCATTATCTAAGTGTTTGTCCATTTACTACCGTTCGACTGCCTTCTTTGTTGCTCAGTTTCAATAGGTTGCTTATTTCCCGTTCAATTATTCTTGATATTTTAACTTGTTTCCGTTTTACTTCTTAATTACCGTGTAGCTATTTTCTGTATGGGTTCGTTTCTTTTGTTAATAGTACCGTTCGGCTTATGCGTGTTGGTTTTCCCACTTCATTTTATTAGCTTGCTTTGAACCATTCGGCCCACACACTTTATTCTTATTATCGTTCGGTCAAGAACGTTCGGTTTACACTTTTCCTCTACTTTTCCGCTCTTGCACTGTACATCTTTATTTACTGCATGCCGCTCGGTTTTACATTTACACTGTTCTGTCTCTAACATGCTTCATAGTTAGAGACCATTCGGCCTTGTTCTGCATTCATTTGTTTAGCTTTCCATTTACATTTCCATTCGACCGTTGTCTATGTCGTTCGGCTCATTATTATTACGCTCGTTTTCTACACCATGCTTTTCTTAATTTATCGTACCGCTCGGTTTCTTTTTACGCATTTATTTTAGAGACCGTTCGGTCTCGATGCTAAAACCGTTCGGTTTCACTCTAGGAGCGATCGGTCTTCATGCTTTGCATATCTCTTTAAGCGTGTTTAATTATGTCTAGTTGTGTTTAATTTCATAATTTAATTTAGTTCATTTCCTGTCACAAAAACACTTTCAAAGCCCCCCCACAACGTGCTTGACCTAATTCTCGAACCAAATTTAGTCCTTGAGAGACGACCTAGGAGTCACTTCCTAGCACTATACTGCATTTATTTGCATATCAAATTTGATGGGCCGCGACAGCCGCATCAGGGTGTTTCAAAGAGATGTTCAAGAAATTGAGAATTACCATTCCATTGAATGAGGCATTGCACCATATTCCTGGATATGAAAAATATATGAATAAGTTCCTCAAGAAGAAGAAATATGTAGATGAGGACACAATTGAAGTATAGTGAAATTGTAGTGTAATTTTGTAGAAGACACTTCCTCCCAAAGTAAAAATTCGGGAAGCTTCACTATTCCTTGCACTATTGGAAATTGTGATGTAGGGAAAACTCTAATTGACTTAGGGGCTAGTATCAATTTGATGCCCTTATTCATGTTAAAGAAGATTGGTGATCTTGAGGTCAAACCGACCAAGATGATGTTGCAAATGGCAAATAGATCTACCAAGAATCCCCATGGTATAGTGGAGGACGTTGTGGTGCAAGTTGACAACCTTAAATTCATAGTGGATTTTGTGTGATGGAGATGGGGGAAGATTTGAAGATCCCTATCATTCTTGGAAGGCCATTCATGAAGACAACTAAGGTTGTCATCAATGTAGATGTTGGAGTTTTAATGCTTAAAGACAACGATGAAGAGGTGATTTTCAATGTCTTTAATGATGAGAAACTGATTCAAGAGAAGAAGACTAGTCCAAAAGATACAGATATGTCAAAGACTAGTGTATCTAAACAAGTTGCTGACTCAGTTAAGGGAGGTAAGAATTCTTTCTTGTCACGGGTGAAGGAAGAGGGGAAAGAAAGTCAAGAGAAGAATCAAGAGAAGATATTTCACCCTGACTTGAAGTGTGAAGATGAAGAATTCAAACTTGGCAAACCAGTCAAGTACAAGAATAGCTTATGGGTTGTGAAGGAGATTAAAGTGAATGGAGTTGTTGAGATTGAAGCTCCATATTCTAGAAGAGTCAAGAAGGTGGACAAGTTGTTGAGGACAAGTTGATGTGATTAAAGAAAAAGGAACACCAACATTAAAGCTTCAAACTGAACATTATGGTGTCAGGCTCGTGACGTTAAACAAGCGCTTACTAGGAGGCAACACAATGCTTTTGAAAACATTTTTGTTTTTGTTTTTGTTTGGTGTGTGATATGATTTAGTTTAGGGATGTTTTTTTTTGAGAAGGTATGGTTATGATGTGCATCAATAGAATAATTATTTTAAGTTTGCGATGTTATGCTTGAGTTGGAAAGTCTTGAAAGATAAAAAATCTGAAAAAAAAAATTAAGGGATGAAACTTAGGGATCATACCTAAAAACACTTAGGGAAAGCAAGAAAAGAGGGGAGAAAAAGCCACGCATCGCACTGAGCGCCCCTCAGAAGGGCATTGAACGCCAGCGATGCTGTTTGGAATTTTGGGCTTTTAAAGCTCAGCGTCATTAGGCCCATTTCACTCTTTTAACCATAAAGCATGCGATTTCTTCCTCACTTCTCATTCCACACTTTCTAGCCACCAAAGAGCTTTTATTAGGGTTCACTACTACTTTCCCCTTTCATCCCTTCTCCAAAAATCACCATCTCCACTACCCTTTACTTCATTCCATTCACTAAGTTTGGGGTTTTTGGTGTGCTGTAGCTATTGTTCATAGAAGCCCTAAGTTTCCACCAGCCCTTTGTGCAAATTTGGAAAGATTTGAACTCCACTCAAGTAAGCATCTTGCATTTTCAATTTTTAACTCTTGATAGTTTTGATTCTTGAGGTTTATGTATGATATGTGTTTGATCTGTTGAATAAACTATTGCTGGTTGGATTATTGATGATTATTGCACTGTGGAAAGTTAGTGTGTGGAGTATTTGGCCAGCTAGGGCCATGAAGTCTTTTTTGGTATGGCGCTGAGGGCCACTTAAAGGGCGCTTAGCGCCGACGCATCTGGTTCATAGTGGTTGTTGTTGTATTCTGGTGATTCTGGTCATGTGCAAGTACCGCTGAGGGCCCTCTGATTTACCCTCAGCGTTGGAGAAAAAGGGTTTTGATGTTGATTGGTGTTTAGATTATAGGATGTTTATGTTTGACTAGTGAGGATGTGTTGAATGCATGAATATTATGGATGACCCATTAGCAGATTGTATTGTGTTTGATTGTGGTGCAGATATGGCTTCATCATCTAGAAAGCGTATTAAGCATACTGCTGATAGAGGACAGAAGAGAAAGGAACATATATATTCCAACAAGTTCCTCTCACACATGCATGAGAGGCACTTTCAGGCGGTACAGAACAAAGGCTTTTGATGTTGAGAAAGGTGGGACTGATACCCACCATGACACCGAAATTTTTAAGAGAGCTGGAAAGGAGGCAATGGGAGAATCTGGCTTCTTACCCCTCACTTGCTAACATATCTGTGGTAAAGCGGCATGCGCGATATCCAATCTCCTTCTTCCTAGCTTGCCCTAAGCGTCCATCACCAATGCCTCTCAACTTCAACTCTCAAATTTTCAAATCTCATATATTTTCCACTTACTCCATACACTCTCACTTAATAAATGCACTTAGTCTCTCACACCACTCACATTCAACAATAATCCCTATAATGCAACTAGAACAGAAGCAAAACAAACAAACAAAGACAAATTCAATCAACTGGGTTGCCTCCCAGGTAGCGCTTGTTTAACGTCACGAGCCTGACCCAAAATCTTCCAACACCCATCAGTAGGTGCAAATCTTACCATCACCCTTCAGTAGGTGTACCTTCTGAGTATCCTTTAGTAGATACCCAATCATCTAGCATCCATCAGTAGATGTTGTGCTGTAGAACACTCATTACCAAAACAAAACAAAATAACAAAAGTTCACAATTATATCACCAAATAACAAAAATTAAAGTTTTTAAACCATTGGGTTGCCTCCCAGCAAGCGCTCTTTTAACGTCATTAGCTTGACCCAATAAAGCCCAAGTTCCATCTTCAATGTTGGTGTTCTCCTTTCTGGATATTCTTTTTTTTTTCTTCTTTTTGCTGAATTTCTTCAGGAATTTGATAAAACTAGGAACTTGTTTCAATGTCTCAATCGTAGGAACTTTAATCTCTACTTTCTTGAAGATTTCCATAAAGCGCTCAAATTCCTTCTCCTTCCTATGATACTTTGGATGAGGAAGGGGTTTTTCATATGATTCTTTCTTTTTTCCTCTCGTCCTCTTTCTCTTTTCTCTCACTTTCTTTTTCCCTTCTCTTTTTCCACTCACTTTCTTCATCTTGACACAAATTTTCTTTCTCTTTTTTCTCTCAACCACTTCTCTTTCTTTCTCTGCATCTTTATCTTTTTCACTCAACTCTTCTTTTTCTTTTCTCTCTATCTTTCAATCATCTAAAGTCTTTTCCCTTCCNAAACCAGTCAAGTACAAGAATAGCTTATGGGTTGTGAAGGAGATTAAAGTGAATGGAGTTGTTGAGATTGAAGCTCCATATTCTAGAAGAGTCAAGAAGGTGGACAAGTTGTTGAGGACAAGTTGATGTGATTAAAGAAAAAGGAACACCAACATTAAAGCTTCAAACTGAACATTATGGTGTCAGGCTCGTGACGTTAAACAAGCGCTTACTAGGAGGCAACACAATGCTTTTGAAAACATTTTTGTTTTTGTTTTTGTTTGGTGTGTGATATGATTTAGTTTAGGGATGTTTTTTTTTGAGAAGGTATGGTTATGATGTGCATCAATAGAATAATTATTTTAAGTTTGCGATGTTATGCTTGAGTTGGAAAGTCTTGAAAGATAAAAAATCTGAAAAAAAAAATTAA